AGGAGAAGGAGGAGGAGGAGAAGGAGGAGGGAGGAGCAGGAGGAAGGGTCGCCTGAGCCCTTCGGAAAAAAAACCCTCCAGGTGGCAGAGAGCGGGGAAGGTTGGCGAACCACGGACGACCGTGCCTCCGAGGAATCGGAGGAGCTGGCATCCCTTCCTCGGCGGGAGGCCGCGGAAGCCGGCAGCAGTCAGACGAGGGCGGATCCGCTGGCTCACCAAGCGCGTTCCACTACTCGCAAAGTGCCTGCTCGCAAACGTTCGAAAAACATAGGTTCGCCTCGATAAGATGTGTCGTAGAGCCCACGCGGCGGATCCAGGCCATTTGCGAGTAGTGACTTTGCGAGTAGCGGAGCGCGCTTGCCTATTGGCGGAAGGCCAGTGCAAGGCGGCGGGAGTAAAAGATGCGCCCCAGAGTCAATCGGTGGCGAAGCGTCCTGGCCTGCCAACAGGCCTACCAAACACTGTTCTAAGAACCTTTTGTGGATACTACGGAATGTTCTTAGAACATCTCTCGCCGGGACTGTCTTGTTTTAGCACATCGTGTTTCTGTGCTAACACCATTGTTTTCGTTCGTAGAACATGTTTGGGTTCTGAGAACATGTCGTGGTAGACTTATAGAAATGATGGGACGGTCGGCCCCTGCTCAACCAGAGACGGTCACAGCTGGGGTTAAGTCGGGCCCGTCCCTCTACAGGTGGAATGTTCAAAAATAGTCAAACAGAATAGTCTGGGGACTATCGTTGGAATATTTGTGGGCCATTTGGGAGTATGTTTTGCGTACTTTTTATTGTTTCGTCGAACATCCCCCTGTATGGGGTGACACGCCCGACTTGAAGCTGGGGGTTCAGAGTCGGCCATCTTGGAGCTGGCGCGGGCAGGGACCGAGCCTCGGCGGCGCGCCTGTGGGGGGGGGGAGGTGAGGAGGAGGAGGCCTCCTCGGCAGGCTCGGAAGCCCTCCGGCCTCTCTGAGGAGTGTGTTCATTCGGGTGCAACTCCTGGGAGGTGCAATTCTGATTGTGCCCTGGTCCGAAATCCGGCTCAATCCGGCCTAATCCCGCTTCATCCGGTTTAGTCCCGCTCAATCCCGCTGAATCCTGCTTAGTCCGAGGCCCACTCCGGCGTAGCAGCTCCCAAATGGGGCTTATCCTCTTGCGTTTGTCCGCCGGAAACCTCCAGGTAGCTGCCTTCCCCGAAGACGCAGCAAATTTCTCGGAGGGCGCGAGGGCTTCTGAGGAGCCCCGCCGCCTCCTAAGAAGGCCCTCTCCTTCTCGTTCCCCCCCCCCCCCACAGTCTCGGGCCTCGGGCTCGCGGGCTTAATGGCGGCGCTTCAGGGGAGGGCGATGCGTGGAGGGGGGGGGGGGGGGGGGGGGCAAAGAGGGGGGTGATGACTAGGGGGGGGGGGGGATATCATGGCGGGGGCCATTATATTTCCCCAGATTTCATGGCGCCTCTTCTTGCTTCATTACGTACCTGGCCCCCCCGCTGGGCTGCGCACATGCCGCCAGTCATGATTTGCACCCCCCCCTCTTGGACACCCCCCTCTTGGCCGCTCCCGAGATGCGTGGAGGGGGGGGATGTGCCCTGCTCGGACCCCAATCAAGGCCCCTTCGGGGCCCGAGAGGGCCCCTGAAGAGGCCCCAACGGGTCCCTTCTCGGGAGGTCCCTAAGTTTCCCCTTCCCGCCGCCGAAGACCGCCTCACAGTCTGCAGGGCGCCCGGCCACACTTCCGGCCAAAGTCCCGCGCGAGGCGGGTAGAATTTCGCGCGGGGCCCGGGCGAGGGCGTGGGCAGCGGAGCCGGCACGTCCGAGTAGGCTTGCGGTATGCGAGCACGGTCTGCGGGCGCAGGGCGGTGTTCACCTCGCGCGGTCTTCGAAGAAGAAACAACTCCAGAAGCATACATTTTTGGCCATCCGCGCGGATTTCTCGGATCCGCGGTGGGGGCCCCCTGGCGGCGTTTCCAGCGCCGCTCCTGGCGCGCTCCGCGCGCCAGGGAGGGGGTCCAGCGCGGATGCAAGAAATACGCGCGGAGCGCCAACAGTTTATGCTTATAACGTTTTTTTATTCTTGCGCTGGCGAGAGGGACCTGGCCCTTTCTCTCTCTCGCTCTTTCTCGTGCGCGCGACGTGTGCCGCCCCCCCGCTCCTGCCTCGCAATCCGAGCTGCCGGAGAAGTGCAGCGCCCATTTTGACCGGGAGGCAGAATGTGCACGTCGGGCTGCTCTCTGATGGATGAGGGTGGACACCATCTGGGTCCTTCCAGGATCGGCCTTGCCCTCGAGGATCGAAGGAGTGGTCCTCTCCTCCGCGGCGGAAGGCTGGCGGAAGCTCAGCGGAAGGCGGCGGAAGTAAACATCGACTGCACGTAAGAGTGGCCTTTCGCCGGAGTGACCTTTGGGTGCGGGCCAAATGGGGTCCCCCGATCGCTGAATGCGATGCGGTAGCGGCGTCTTGCGCGCCTGGGTTTGGCACCCCCAGCAGCCCCCCAAAAAGCCGCGCACTCAAGGTCACTCCTAATTGCCCAGGGTCACTCTTGCGTGCAGCCGAAAATAATGCGCCCCCAAGAGATGAACATGTTTTTGGGTGCAGGGCTTTCGGAATCGTCCATCTGGCACGGGTCGCTGTCGAGGCCTCGGTGAGGGACCCAGACGTCCTCCGATCTGATGCTGCACTTCTGAGGCCCCAGAGCTCCCGGCCCCTTCCCTGGGGGTGGTCCTTGGCACTGGATAGATTGTCCACCGGCCTTCGGCCCATCCTGCCACCGTGCCTGGGTCGTGGGTTAGGGGCCTCGTGGATGTTCGTTTGGATATCGTGGGAGGCCTTTCGGGGGCATCGTCGAGGCAGTTTTTGAAGCCTCTTGGGGACCGCTTAGGAGCCTCTTGGGGCCTCTTTTTGAGGCCTCTTAGGGGCCTCGTGGGGCCTCTAGGGGGGGCCTCTTGGGCTCTCTTGGGGCCTCTTAAGGCCTCCTGGGGGCCTCTTGGGGCGGAAGTCTTGAACTGTCGGTTTGTGATCCACCTCTTGGGCTCCCCCTGGGGCCGTCTTGGGGCCCTTTTGGGCGATCTTGGGCGCCTCTTGGGCCGCTTTGAGGCCCTCTTGGACAGTCTTAGGGGCCCTCTCGGGGGCCTTGTGGGCCGTCCTGGGGCGGTTTGGGGGTGCCTCTGGGGCCATATCCTGGAGCGTCGGCAGCCCGACAACGCGAGAACGCAAAACACATAGAAAGCATGAGGACAATGCATGATGTCTGCCTCTGTGGGCCCTCTTGGGTGTCCTCTTGGGTGTCCTCTTGGAACGCTCTTGGGGCCCGCTTGGGCCGTCTTAGGGCCATCTTGAGCGTCTTGGAGCTCTCTTGGGCTGTCTTGAAGGCCTCTTGGGCCCTCTTGGGCCCTCTTGGGCGCTTTATGGGGCCCTCCTGGCCCGTCTTGGGGCCCTCGGGCCTCTGGGAAAGTCACGCGAGGCAGCCCCGGAACGCGCGGGAGCGCCCAGGAATTTTGAGAATCTGCGGCTCCAGCCCTTGGAATACTGTAATCCCAGAGTCCTGAGTACAGAGAACAGAGAACACACGAGAGCCTGGGGGAAACTCCACTTCGTGCCGCGAGGAAAGTGGCGGATTGCAAGCCACTGGGCCCCGATAACAGGCCCCGGAGGCCGAAATCGACGAAATACGCCCGGATTGAAACCACCAGTCGTCGGAGGTCTGGGAGCCCGAGGCCGCTGTTTCTGCACCACTGCCGCTGCCCTGCGCCGAGGCCGAGCGGGACAGGCAGGCGGCCGAGGCCAGGGAGCTCCTCGTGAAGGTCGAGCGCGAGGCCCGGGAGAGCGCCGAGCGGTCCAGGCAGCAGGCCACGGGCATTGTTAGGGTGGGATTGGCTCCATGGGGGATGAGGGTGATGATGGATGATTGATGATGATGGTGCTGGTGCTGGTTATGGTTATGATGATGATGCTGATGATGATGATGATGCTGATGATGATGATGATGATGATACTGATGATGATGGTGATGGTGGTGGTGGAAGTGATGGTGATGGTGATGGTGATGGTGATGATGATGATGATGATGATGGTGATGGATGATGAATGATGGATGGTTGATGATGATGATGATGATGGTGAGGATGACGCTGATGCTGACGGTGGTGTTGATGATGATGGTGATGACGGTACTGATGATGTTGATGATGATGCTGATGTTGATGCTGATGCTGATGCTGGTGATGATGATGCTGATGATGATGGATGATGGATGATGGATGATGGATGGTGGATGATGATGATATATGATGGCTTATGATGGTTTATGATGGATGGTGGAAATGGTTTGTGGTGATGATGATGATGATGCTGATGATGATGATGATGCTGATGATGATGATGATGATGATGATGGTCATGGTACTGGTGAATGTGATGGTGGTTATGATGATGATGAGGATGATGAGGATGATGAGGATGAGGATGAGGAGGATGAGGAGGATGAGGATGATGATGAGGATGATGAGGATGAGGATGAGGATGAGGATGAGGATGATGATGAGGATGATCATCATGATGAGGATGAGGATGAGGACGTGGATGAGGACGAGGATGCTGATGATGATGATAATGATACTGATGATGATGAGGATGAGGATGAGGATGAGGATGAGGATGAGGATGATGATGATGATGATGATGATGATGATGATGATGATGATGATGATGATGATGATGATGATGATGATGATGATGATGATGATGATGGACCATCGCCCCTCCAGTCGCCCACTGATCGCCGATACAGGGGCCGAAGTGCCCACCCCGCCCAGGCACGTGCGCATTCGGCACCGGGGGTCCGTCACCGATTTATCGGCGATGTGCTGCCGATTCCGAATCGACGATCTCCACCCTGAACTCGTCGCGCCCGGGCGTCCCCCAACCAGAAGGCGTCGCTGCTGCAGGGCTTCGACGAGGCGAAGGAGAGGGCCGACTTCGAGGCCAGGGTGCAGGCCGAGCTCCTTGCCGGCATGGCGGCGCGGAAGGCCTTCGGCGTGGACGAGTCGGCGCTCGGCGCTGGAAAGCAAGTGGCCGTCGAGGAGCCCGCCGCCCAGGCCAAAGACGAGTCTGAGGCCGAGCTCGGCGCGGAGGGGAAGGTTCTGTCCGAGGCCGAGGGGAAGGCAGAGGTGGAGGCCAAGGAGAAGGCCGAGGTCGAGGCCAAGGAGAAGGCAGAGGCCGAGGCGAAGGAGAAGAAGGCCGAGGTCGAGGCCAAGGCGAGGCTCAGCAAGGCGGAGCGCGAGGCTGAGCCCCGCCCGCCCGCCCGCCGAGCCACGTTCCGCCCGGGGCAGGCAGGATCGGCTTCGACGCGATTGGTCGGAAATCCGTGTCGGTTCCGGCCGGCGGCTGCGGCAGCGGCGGTTGCTGGGGGACAGGCGGCGGCGGCGGCGGCTGGGGGGGGGGCCTATTGCTGCTGGGCTGGCTGGCGGGGCCAGCGCGGGCGGGCGCGCGCGGGCACGGGGCCCCGCCCTGCGGGGAGGAGGAAGAGGAGGAGGAGGAGGAGGAGGAGGAGGAGGAGGAGGAGGAGGAGGAGGAGGAGGAGGAGGAGGAGGAGGAGGAGGAGGAGGAGGAGGAGGAGGAGGCAGGAGGAGGAGGAGGAGGAGGAGGGAGGAGGAGGAGGAGGAGGAGGAGGAGGAGGAGGAGGAGGGAGGAGGAGGAGGAGGAGGAGGAGGAGGAGGAGGAGAGGAGGAGGCGGAGGAGGAGGAGGAGGAGGAGGGAGGAGGAGGAGGAGGAGGGAGGAGGAGGAGGAGGAGGAGGAGGAGGAGGAGAGGAGGAGGAGGAGGAGGAGGAGGAGGAGGAGGAGGAGAGGAGGAGGAGGAGGAGGAGGAGGGAGGAGGAGGAGGAGGAGGAGGAGGAGGAGGAGGAGGAGGAGGAGGAGGAGGAGGAAGAAGAGAGAAAGAGAAAAGAAGAAGAGGAAGGAGGAGGAGGAGGAGGAGGAGGAGGAGGAGGAGGAGGAGGAGGAGGAGGGGAGGAGGAGGAGGAGGAGGAGGAGGAGGAGGAGGAGGAGGAGGGGAGGAGGAGGAGGAGGGGAGGGGGAGGAGGAGGAGGAGGAGGAGAAATCGATTCAATTGCTAACTTTTGCAAGCCTGGATCAAACGTTGGGAGGTGGTATATCTTACGTTGGATTGGCGGAGGTATACCAAATACATCCGGCAATGCAGCACCGACCATTTTCGGTCCCCTTCAGGTCCTTAGACTGCTGGTACATGCAGCACACTTCTTGATTTGAAGGGTAGCAGCCCCAGAAGTGCATTTGTATGCCATGCGATCAGATCCAGCTTCTTAGACCCCCGCCCCAGCATAAGCTGCTCCATTGCTAGAAGACGGAAACGATTGCACATCGCAAAGTAGTACCACTAATTGACAGCATGCCTTTCTGTCACGCGCAGCAGTCCAGCCAACATCTTTGGCCAGCGTGCAGTAGATGATACTTGACTTGTTTCTTGCATGATGCACGCGCACAGTTTTCCCAGCCGACTCTTTAATTGCAGCCAGCTTGACCACGGCAGTACGTACCCTTTAAAATGATGAGGTGGGGATGCGCCTATTGGGGGGGGGGCAGCACCAACCAGGATCACACTCAGCTTTTAGACTGCCCCAAAAAAAGCAGCACACCTGGCTGGCATCAAGGCCCACAAACACCCATGGCCAGCTTACAGATGCTCCTGTTCAGTCACTGTGCTCCTGACTGACTCAGAGGAAAATAAGTCGTGACATAAGTAGACACGGCATGACCTTTCCCGCCACCTTCAGCATCCCAGCCAACATCTCTGGCCAGCCTACAAAATGCGTCTTAGCATCAGCAGACCCCGTGTACCTCATCCCTTTTATGCGGAGCCAGTTTGTATTTATTCTTGTTGTGGACGGTTTGTGTCCAGATGAGGCTTGTTAGTGACCTACTAAGGTGCATTATGCCTCTTGTATCTGGCGGGCGCCTGCTAAGTGTTATGGTCTTTGCCACCGATCTCTCTTTACAACCGTTTCTGCGGCGACCGCCAGGTACCATTGCCTTGAATCGTTGATTTTCTTGTCACAGCTGCTCAAAAACGCTACCGGCTAGATCTATAAGTTGGGCTAGCGTAAAAAGGAGGAGGAGGAGGACATATCCGTAAGGGCTTCGCCCCCTGCCGCCGGCCCCCTCTCTCGGAGAATGGGCCATGGAAGAGCTAAGTCATGAGGCCTTGGCGCTGTCGTGAAGCAGTATCGAAACTTCATGCGAAGCCGATTCGCAATCAGCAAAACCAACTGATCACAAGAGGGGTTACCACACCTGGCGATTGGTAAGACGTGTATGGTTTACGGGCTTGGTTACCACACCCTGCGATTAAAGGGCCGAGGGAGTTCTCGCAATTTGGGTTACCACGCCTTGCGATGGATGTGCGTGAAGGGTGGCACCGAATTTCAGAAATGTGGCAAATCCCCTGTGTTTTTGGACCCTGACCCCGCGGATCTGCGTAAGGGGTGGCGCCGAATTTCAGAAATGTAGCAAATCCCCTGTGTTTTTGGACCCTGACCCCGCGGATCTGCGTGAGGGGTGGCACCGAATTTCAGAAATGTTGCAAATCCCATGTGTTTTTGGACCCTGACCCCGCGGATCTGCGTGAGGGGTGGCACCGAATTTCAGAAATGTGGCAAATCCCATGTGTTTTTGGACCCTGACCCCGCGGATCTGCGTGAGGGGTGGCACCGAATTTCAGAAATGTGGCAAATCCCTGTGTTTTTGGACCCTGACCCCGCGGATCTGCGTGAGGGGTGGCACCGAATTTCAGAAATGTGGCAAATCCCCTGTGTTTTTGGACCCTGACCCCGCGGATCTGCGTGAGGGGTGGCACCGAATTTCAGAAATGTGGCAAATCCCCTGTGTTTTTGGACCCTGACTCCGCGGATCTGCGTGAGGGGTGGCACCGGATTTCAGAAATGTGGCAAATCCCTTGTGTTTTTGGACCCTGACCCCGCGGATCTGCGTGAGGGGTGCTGATTCCGAGCCCCCCCAGCAATTCAGACAACGCGCTCAGGGGGTGCTAAAAGTCCCGTTTGGGCCTCCCCCCCCTCGCGCGGTCAATCAACTAGTTACAGTAACCAGCAAGAAGCAGAACTGTAACACTGGAAACTACAAGCTACAACTGGTACAGGAAACTGCGAACCCGCGCCTACAGCCTGGTGGCCCCACAAAGGGGCCGGCGGATTCTACGTAAGTGTTCCAAGCCAGAAAAGAAACGCTACCGCCTTGCACGAAAACATGACGAAACCATGCCACGCAGGAACACCATCCCGAAAAACAGGAAAAAGCACGATGGCAAAGCATTACGCAATAACACTACGCGCATCACTTATTAACAGTGTAGAGACACGATGCACACACAGCACATGCAAATGCATTACGTAAACACGATACGTACATCCATTTACGTAAATACATTACGCAAATACACCGCTCAGATACATCACATCATTCCACTACGTGGACTATTTCATATTTAGGCGCAACTCTCCAAAGAACGAGTTGTGCCAGAAGTGCTTACCATGTTGTGGAGGGGAGGGTGGAATTGATAGGCAGTGCTTTCTCACTCGCACGACCTGGCGAAATTGATCATACTTCTCATGCTCCCCACCCGCGCCGGCTGGCCAGACACCGTACGCAACCCTGCAGCTGTGTGCAGCCCCGGGCGTGGGTCCGGCTCGGTACTTGGCCAGTTCTGCGTTGGCTGCCGCTGCGGGGGGTCTTTGCTGCAGCAGCTGCCAACAGAGATGTGAAGGAGAATAATGAAGAAACCCAAGGTGGTTAGAAATTGTTAGATGTGTCGTTTGCGCACCATTCGTTTGAAATGGCACCTCGTTGTGCTACCACCATGTTGTCAGCTCTTCCTCGGTGGTCGCACGGTTTCCGTGCCGGCGCTCATTGTGGCCAGCCCATCCGGTGCGCGATTTCACGAAAACGAAGGCACAGCAGAGGGGGGGGCGTTCCGCGCCCCGGGGTTGGGTTTCGAAGCCGCCCTGGACTGCCCCTGGTGGCCTGCTGAGGCCAGCCAGCATGGGCTGCCTCTGGTGGAGGGTGCGTATACAGGAGGCTTCGGAATGAGCGGACCCGGCTTGAGGCCGATATTTCCATCCTCCAGGGGCTGGTCAGAGCGGGTTGCTTCTCGAACCCCGTTTCTGGCCCAACCACATCGGGTGTTGCTTGAAGTGCCCCTGGGCCAAGGTGCCCCCAGGATTCTCGGGGTAGCCCAAGCGGCCTCCAAAGCACCCCTCACGAGGAGCGAAAAGCTGGGGGCACCTTGGGCCAGGGGCACTTCCAGCAACACCCGACCACACCTTGACGCCCCCGCTGACCGAAGGATTGCAGCCCATGCCAGAGATGTCGACGAGAGCTCCGGGGCCACGAGGGGGGTGGCGGCGCGTCGTGCGTCCAGGGGGAGCCGCGCCGCGCCGCGGCCGGTTGCTGCGGCGAGGCCCGGCGGAAGAGGCGGAACGCCGCGAAGAAGGCCGAGCGTGAGGCCAGGGAGAGGAGCGAGAAGGAGCAGAAGCAGGCCGAGCTTCCCGCTCCTCCCGTGCAGATGCGCAGCAGTGCAAGTACGCAGGCCAGCCTCGAGGACAGGAGGTGGTGGAGGAGGAGGGGGGAGGAGGAGGAGGAGGAGGAGGAGGAGGAGGAGGAGGAGGAGGAGGAGGAGGAGGAGGAGGAGGAGAAGGAGGAGGGAGAAGCAGGAGGAGGAGGAGGAGGAGGAGGAGGAGGAGGAGGAGGAGGAGGAGGAGGAGGAGGAGGAGGAGGAGGAGGAGGAGGAGGAGGAGGAGGAGGAGGAGGAGGAGGAGGGAGGAGGAGGAGGAGGAGGAGGAGGAGGAGAGGAGGAGGAGGAGGAGGAGGAGGAGGAGGAGGAGGAGGAGGAGGAGGAGGAGGGAGGAGGAGGATCAGTGAGGAGGAGGAGCAGGAGGAAACTGAGGACACCGGGAGACTGAGGAGGGCGAGGAGATGGGCTTGAGGGACGAGGAGCAGCAGGGGCTGGTAGAAGCCGGAGGATGACTTGATGTTGAGGAGGAGTAGGATGCGAACGAAGACAAGGAAGAGTAGGATGAGGAGGCGGAGGAGGAAGAGGAGGAGGAGGAGTAGGAGGAGGTGGAGGAGGCTGAGGAGGGAGGAGGAGGGGATATGGTAGGGATGACTATGACGATGACGATGTCGATGACGTCGACGATTATGATGAGGAGGAGCAGGGGGAGAGAAACGGTGAGGGCAGTGGTGACGACGACCATGTCGACCATGACGACGATGCCGGCGACAGTCCAAGTTCGTTCTGGCGCGCACAAGGGGGTGTCGCCAGGCAGGGTGGCTTTCAAGCAGGCTCGGAGGGAAATCTTAGAAGGCAGGAGACTTCTTCAAAGGGCGCAAAGAATGCACACTCAAAACAGTATTTTCATTACCACACGCTTTCGACTGTCCGCACGGATTTCCTTGGATCAGCCGCTTCCGCCGGCGTGAGCGTCGGCGTCGGCAGCCTCGTCGTCGCGGGCGTCGGCTTTGGTGGGCTGGCCGGCGCCGTCGGTGCCGACGGCGTCAGCGCTGGCTTCAGTGAGGAGGGGGAAAACACACACAGACACAATTATTCGTCGATCCCCCGGAAAATATGGGAAAATATGGGAACTGTGGGGGGAGACAACAAACCCAGAACATATAGGAAAATATGGGGAATCCTGTTACTTGTGTGTATTTATTTGTGTGCCCCTGGGCCCCTTCAGTGGTGGGCGGCTCGCGCCGCAGGCGGCTGCCGCCGCAGCTCCGGGGGAGGCCGGCCCGCCCACGCCTGCCGAGGCCCTGGTGTGCCCCCCCAGCGCCGCCAGCTGCGCGGCCCACCGCGCGGGGACAGACCCCCAGTGGTCCCCTGGGTGATCGTGGGGGCGTTGGTGCTCCTCCTCCTCCTCCCCCTCCTCCTCCTCCTCCTCCTCCTCCTCCTCCTCCTCCTCCTCCTCCTCCTACCCCTCCTCATCCTCCTCCTCCTCCTCCTCCTCCTCCTCCTCCTCCTCCTCCTCCTCCTCCCTCCTCCTCCTCCTCCTCCTCCTCCTCCTCCTCGTCCTCCTCCTCCTCCTCCTCCTCCTCCTCCTCTCCCTCCTCCTCCTCCTCCTCCTCCTCTGCGGAGGCACGGGCGCTGGGGCTGGCCTTGGGGTCAGAGTCGGTGCCAGCGTCGGCGAGGCGGTTGGCGCGGGCGTGCGCGCCGCCATCGGGACTGCAGTAGGCACCGTTGCCGGCGCCGCGGTCGGCGCCGTCAGTGCTTTCGGGGGGCGCCGCTCCCTCGGGCGGCGACCGCGCGAGCTTTCCGAAGTCCTGGGCGGGTGCCCACTCCTGGCGCCAGCCCTCACACCATGAGCACAGTGAGAGAGCACGAAACACGAAGAAGAAACGGGTTCGACTGCGCCAGCATGGGCGCGTAAGCCGCCCGCAAGAAGGTCGCGCGTCAGCGCCCTCGTCTCCATTGTGGCGTGCCGCGCTGGCGGCCCGCGCAAGCTGCTGCGCAAGGTCGCTACGTCATCTCGCGCAGAACCCGGTTTTGATCGTCGCTCACATGGCGGCCCGCACCTCGGCAGAAGGCGCACTCGCAGGGCCCCGGTGCCTCTCCCCCGCTTTCCGAAGGCTCCCCTGGGCCGACACGTGCACGCCGCCACTGGCCGGCAGGGGGGCAGCGGGGGCGTCAGCGCACTCTCGAGAGGAGGCTTCCCTTCTCCCCGTGGCGTCCCCCAGCTGATGCGGCCCCCCTCGGAGCCACGCGGGCACGGGGGCGCTGGCGTCTGCCCGAGGTCTGGGTTCCCCTGGTTCGGGCTCCCCCTTCAGCTGGGGTCTGGCTGTTCGGCGTCAAGACCCGCACGCGGTCCTGAAGGACCCCGCCGATGATGGCGCCACCCTTGCTCTGAACGCTGCCCGTCCTGGGAGCCGTTGATCGCCTCGACCTCGTGTGGTCCTCGCGGCGTCACGGGCATGCCGAAGTGGGTGATCAGGATCTGTCCGGTTGCCCCTGCCTCCGTCTATTTGCCCATCTCGTCTAGACGAAATTAAGAGTGACCTTTCGCCGGAGTGACCTTTGGTGCGGGCCCCATGGGGTTCCCCGATCGCTGAACACGCAGCGGTAACAGCGGCTTGGGTGCCCAGGCTTGGCCTCGCTGCGTCCCCCGTTGGACCGCGCACCAACGGTCACCCTTGCCCAGGGTCACTCTTGCGTGTAGCTGGCCATGCCCGATCCCCGCAGCTTCACCGCTACGTCGACGCTGACTGTGGCCACGCCTGCAGAGTTCCCCGCACGCGGGCGCTGCTCGAGGGTGTCCAGCCCCTCTGGGAAGCACAGCGCCTTCTCGGAGCCCTCGTCGCCCCCGACGGGCGCGCAGCCATCCTCCTCTCTGAAGCCAGAGGTCCCACGGACAGAGCCCCGCTGGGCGCCACGGGAGGCCCTCGAGGAGACAGCCTGTTATGTTTGGAAAGCCCAGGGTTCGCAAGGGGTTTCCTCCCAAGACGACGAAAACCCTTGCAAAACCCTGACGAATCCTTCCGAAAATTGTCCTGGAGCCCTTCCCGGAGGGTTTTTATGGTTTCGGGAGGGTTCCGGCTGGTTCGAAAGAGAACCAGTCCCTAGCTAACCCTGGACTTCCTAACGTTCTATTTCACATCCAGATGTTTGCCCGGGAGCCCTCCAGAAGCGCCCCCGTCTCTCCGCTTCTGGCTCCTGTCTCTCCGCAACCTATGGTCCTTTTCTCCTGTTCCGATTTCCATCTCTCCGACTCTGGCTGCGGCTCCGACTCCTGCCCCCAACACGTCTCCTGAGGGCTCCGGCCCCCCCGCGCCGCCCTGTGAGGGCCGGTCCCGCCGGACCGAGCTCGCGCGCTCGCTTCGCCTCGCCCTCCGGAAGCGCCCCGCGGCGCGGGGGCTGGCCCGCCCCACTCCCCAGGGGCCCTGCCGCGCGCTGTCGGGACGCGCGTGGGGCCGGGCGTCGCCGTGCGCGTGCTTCGGTCGGGGCGCTGAAGAAGGAACCCTTTTCGTTGGGGAGGGGCTCGGTGTTCCCTGGATTGTTGCAAAGTTTGCCCCGGGTTTTCCCGAGGTTTCCCATGGGAAATCGAGGTTGAACTGGAGGGGAAAACGGGGCCTCGTTCCTTACTCAGGCTTCAAGCAGTGGCGAAGCGTCCTGGCTCGCCTATAGCCCTACCAAACAATGTTCTGAGAGCCTTTTGTGGTTTCCACGCAGTGTTCTAAGAACATTTCTGGATGAGATTGTCTTGTTTTAACACCTCGGGCTTATGTTCTAAGAGCATTGTTTTTTTTGTTCTTGGTATATGTTTGGGCGCCGAGAACATTAAGGGGCAGGGATATAGGAATGCCGGGAAGGTCGGTCCCTGCTCAAAGGGTTCCTTAGGTCAACGCCTCGACTGTACCTGGGGCCCTCGGGGCGCCGGGAGCGTGGGTCGAGGACGGGTGCCGGCCCGGGCCAGGGGCCGGGCTCCCTCGCACCCCATGGGCAGGGCGCTTCGGCTGGAGCCCTGGCGCGGGTGGGCGTCCTCGGTCAGGAGGAGAAAGAGCACACAGACACAATTCATCGTCGACCCCCAGGAAAATAGCGGAAAATACTGGAAGTGGGGAGGCAGACGAAAATCCAAAATGTATTCGAAAATATGGGGGATCCGGTTCTCTGTGTGTTTTTTTTTTTTATGTGTGTGTGTGTCCTTGGGCCCCTTCACTCGGGCGCGCCGGGGCGTCGTCCGTGCCGTGGGCCGGACGCGGGGAGTTGTCCCTCTCCGCGTCAGCCCTGGAGCGGAGGGGGACAGCGTTCCAGTTTGCATCGCACTGGCTTGTCACGCTGCGTCTTCCTCGAAAGCCCCGGGTAGAAGTATGTGACGCGAGGGAGATCGAGGAAGAACATGTTGTAGGCATCAGTTTCCGGAGATTCATGCGGATTTCTCGGATCGGTGATGCCCGGGCTGGGAAATTGGCGTCCACGAGGCCGAGAACAGAGATAATCCTGCCAGGACTGAAAAAATCATGTCGTCGGGGATCCGGGGACGCCAGTGGTCCCCGGAGCTCCCTGGAGGTCTCCGGTGGCGAAAGACGGCGACGGCGGCGACGACGACAGCGTCTGGGGTCGAGCAGGAGCCCCAGACGTGACGGCGACGAGCTGATCAATGTCGGCGACAACGACGACCAATTTGCGAACACGTGTTGATCAATGACGACGACAACGAGTTGATCAATGACGACGAGTTGATCAATGACGACGACAACGTCAACAACGACAACAACGACGACACCTTTGACCTTCATGTGTTTTTTTCCGTCTCCGTGCTACCCATCTGCTCAGTCTATGGACCAAATCCGTGTTAGAGGGGGGATTCTTTGTGCAGTCGGCCCAGATTAGTAGGTCGACCCTGCCAGCTCAAGGGTACCCTTGTGTCCTGTGCCTCGCGACACGTGCCTTCTTACGCTCCTATGGCGACGTGGTCCTGGAGAGGGTCCTGTGTCCTCTCGCGCGTCCTGTCCAATCGAGGCCGACTGTAGATTGGCTTTTCGGAGAAGCATTCGGCAGGGTGCTTCGTAGGCGCACCTCACTGCCATGGCCGCCCTGCGGGC